TTGTCGTTCATCTGAATTTGGTGTTGATCTTCGCTTGGTGTTGATCTCCACCTGGTGTTGATATCCACTTGGTGTTCATCTGCACTTGGTGTTCATCTGCATTTGGTGTTTATCTCCGTTTGGTGTTGATCTCCAGTTTGGTGTTGATCTCAACTTGGTGTTAATCTCCAGTTTGGTGTTCATCAGCACTTGGTGTTGATCTCCGTTTGGTGTTGATCTCCGCTTGGCGTTGATCTCTGCTCGCACTATAATATTTAAGAGGGATTGATGTCAAAATAAACAATTATATATATATATATATATATATATATATATATATATATATGTGTGTGTGTGTGTGTGTGTGTGTGTGTGTGTGTGTATGTATATATATATATATATATATATATATATATATATATATAGTTGGTGAAAAAATTTTAAATGTATAATTTCTTGTATGTTTTCTCTGCTAGGCCCAGCACATTTAGTATCTCGTTCGTCACACTGACACACGGACAGACACAGATAAATATGTATGTGCCTGCACATGCATCTCTCTTTCTTTCTTTCTTTCTCCTCTCTCTCTCTCTCTCTCTCTCTCCTCTCTCTCTCTTTCTCACATATATATATATGTTTTATATATATATATATATATATATATATATATATATATTGGCAACATTTTTTTATTAAGATATGAGTTCATTAAATAATATAGACAAGTTTTGTCTCCTTATTTTTAGTAGGATCTTCTTGGAATTACGGAAAAGTTTCTTAATACTTTTATTAGTGGAAGAAAGCGAATTACCATGTTGATGCATGTTCATTTTAATACGAGTAATTTCGACATTAGCACAATGTCGCATCAGGGTCTTGTTTTTTTTTTTAAGATAAATACTGCGTTCATAATTTTTCTAAGACAAAATCTTTGTGTTCAAATGAAAATTAATTTTTTTATGTGATGTGAAAAACGCTAAGTTTGTGTAATATATTTTTTTAAAAATTTCATATAGGCACATGAGCAAACGCCAAGGGAGGGAACTAGATTATTGAAATGTTGAAATATTTTTTAAAAAGAAAAAAGTATTTAAAACTATTAGTTAAAATGTATATATTTTAAACTATCTACTGTAAACACTTAGAAAAAGAGACACTGATGACGACAGTGCGCTAATGTCGAAAGAACACGGAATCAAAACTCGCCTAAATTATTTGATAAGGCATGACTTCATATATATATATATATATATATATATATATATATATATATATATATACCAGATTTTTATGGTTCCATTATAATAATTTATTTCACCAAAGCCCTTTAAAGAATACATATATATATATATATATATATATATATATATATATATATATATATATATTTAGGCGACATGTTTTTCATTAAGATATGAGCTCATTAAATAATTTAAACAAGTTTTGTCTACTTATTTTTAATAGATCCCTCATAATTACAGACAAGTTTCTTTATATCCTCATTAAAGGGAGAAAGAACGTTGCCATGTTGCTGCATATTCATTTTATACACTCTCATTAAATTGTGTGTTTTATACCCGGAGTTATATTTTCCGATTTCTTTTTGAATTTGTAAGTCTGAGGAATTGGATCGTGATTACGATTCCAATGTAAGAAATTATAACCATGGAATATTAGTATTTGAGTCTTTTATATTATATTCTTGCTCAGTCCTGGACGTTGAGCTCTACCTGGATTCTATCCTCTTGGAAATTCAGATATATATATATATATATATATATATATATATATATATATATATATGTGTGTGTGTTTGTGTGTGTATGTATGTGTGTGTGTCTGAGTATTTTTGTATTTGTATTCGTACTGTTGTGTGTGTGCGTCTGTATTTGGGTATTGAAGTGATGTGCGTGTGTCTGCTTGGTTTTGTATGTGCTTGACTAAATGCGGAAGTCCTTGTGCAGAAATATTTGGCAATGCTTTCTTGCTATCATAAAGTCTTTTCATAAACACGTGGTTCAGCGTCAAATATCCTGTGCCATTGGCAATATATATTTTTCTAGTTATGATCAAGCAGAAAAAAGTGTGGAGTCAAGCCTTTAGTTAACGCTCTGAAAACCAAGTTTCAGTATGGTGATATTCAAAACAATTTCGCCTATTATTTTTAATTAATGCCATGCCTCTTCAACATATGAAGGCGGAAGCCATCCTTCCCCATTAAAAACAAAAAAACAACTTTTCCTGCGAATGTTTTGAATTATTGTGTAAAATACAAAATCCATTTACTATTGTCTTATTCCGTTTTTTTTTTATTTTTTAAAAATTCAGATGCATCATCATTTTGCCGCTCAGTGAAAGCCAACATAGTTTACTATTGCGGCGAAGGAAATAAATGATATTTTCATGCCTCTCTCGAAGTTGTTAATACGAAAGCAAGCACAACACACTAGACTGGGATATGAAAAACGTTTTCTTTCTTTCCTTTCCAACAAAGATATGCGTTTCGAGACAGTCACTTCCATCATTTTGTTATATAACTTCACGCTAAACATGGAGACATATTTGGAACTGCGTCTAATTCACCCATGTTTCAGATCCGTAATTGACAAAGCAATTTTATCTTTTCAAACCATGCAAACACACACACAATCATATTTACACGAACACACACAGGGCAAACCCATATACAGAGTGCGATGGAGAAATTTTCATCTAAATTATGTAAAAAATGAACATAACACAGACATCTAATTTTAATGGACATCTTTACCAAAATTACGAAAGAAATTATCTCGAAGGCTAAAGAGTAAATTTCTTCAATAAAATCGTCATTGGCTTGAGACGATTTCGGTAAACTCTTCTGGACGGTCTTCTTGTGTAAATAGTTGAATGCTGCCATGATCCTTGTCTTCACTTTATCTTTGGTGTAACAAGGAGTTTTCTTGGTCTCCCGCTTAACTGTGTCCTGCACATAATCAAGGGAGTTGAAGTTTGGGGAGTTAGGTTGTCAGGTGTAACGGGTGATGTAGTCGTAAAAACATGATTGGGTTATCTTGCTTGTGCAGCATAGTGCAAGGTCATGTTGCCAGACATAGGGTCTTCCAGAAGGCACCCTCTTGATCCAAGGACGCATTACCTCCTCAAGGCACTTGATGTAAGCCTACGTTTTCATTCTGATGTCCTGTGGTCTGCAAACCCCCATTCGTAATCAACATTAGACTCATACAACTCTTTCGAATTCCACTACACACTCTTCAGATTAGCGCACAAACACCCAGAAATCTTCGCCTTAGATGTTCCGGCGCGAATGCCAAGTAGTACAGTATGCCGTGGTGACAGCTCAAATACTTCCAAAGAAAATTTACGGTATAATAAATCAATCAATGTGTTAAGAATGTGTTTACAATATTGGGAAGTAGGTTTTAAAATCAAACGGATAAGTACAAATAAATACATACGCCATTTTAGGCACAACCATCTTCACGGTTTTTCGTCATTGAAACGAAATATAAAAGAAATGTTCAACTTCGTACCTCGTGGACACGAAATGATGTTCAACTGCTGACTCAAAACATCTTTAGAAAAAATTGAGCGAACTCCAAATGAACATGTTTTTAAGATATATTTATCCATTTACGCACTAATGGAAAAATGTCTACAGGTTTATATAGCAGCACAAATTAATCCTTTATACTTCAGGAAGAATTCGTTGCAGTTTTTTGGGTACTGTGTACTAGTGAGCTAGCCTAAATGACCTGACTCATTTTATAGTTCACCAATAGAAGGGTTAACCAATCAGAAAGCTCAAAATATTCAATACGACGTGTATAAAGGTAGCCATTTTTTTCCTTCCAAATTGTCTGCACTGCCAACCTGATATCGAAGACAATTACTTAACAAACGCTACTTCCTCTGAATCTTCACTGCCGACCTCTGATATTGAACAGATTAAGGACTTCACTGGATTCCATATTCAGAGACTGCGGCAAACATGGTCAACAGAATTTATGTCGAATTTAATAAAAAAAAAAATTATCTATTTGTCTTTTCAATATTCATAAATTAAATACCTTTAAATACTGGAAACCAGATGACACTGACAGCCAGTCTCCTCATGGAACAATCACCCAGATTGTTCGTAACTGTTGAACTCTCTGCCTTTAGCAGAGGGGAACTCGGATGATGCTTTCATGAAGGGCAAAGTTTCGTCCGGGGAGGTAGACAGGCCCTGAAACCGTTTATACGGGTTCTAAGAGAATATTTTTGGCCGACCTACGGAGCGAGTTGCGTCATTTTGCGCTTATTCTCATTGACAGTGCCCAACTGCGACTACTATAGTTTGCAGGCAACAAAATAAAAAAACAAAACAATGCGCATGGCATGAAATTAAAATACAAAATCTCGATAATCTACACAACGCACCCCGTATGTTTTTCTCTCTGTGTGTTGGCTCTGATCTGGCATCTATTCTGCAGTCGCTCTCTCACAGACGTGCCGTCGCATCCCTCTGTCTTTTTTACAAATACTTTCACGGTAACTGCTCCGATGAGCTGCTTTCGCTGGTTCCCAGAGTTGATGAATTTAAGCGTTCAGCTAGGCTGGCATGTCGCTCTCATAATTTCTCTGTCGAAACTGTTAAATGGAGCCGTCTCTTCTACTCCAGTAGCTACATGTCTCGCACCCCTCGCTTGTGGAACTCTTTCTCTTTTCCCTGTTTCCCTGATTGCTACAATCTCCAACTGTTCAACTGTAATGTCAATCGACGTCTCCAGATGCCCTGATCTATCCCCTATCCTTCTCTTCATCCTTTTCGTCTATCACTACTATTTGCTCTCGCTCCAACTCTCTCTAACCCCTGACGTGCGTGGCTAGCCTTGCTTTCGCCTTGCTTGGCGTGAGCAATCATTATTCAAAATATTTATTAGAAACAACGATTCTATTTTATTGGGATATTTGAAATTTAAGACAAAATCTCTTCAACATTAGGATATTTTTTTATTATGCTGTTCCTTAATCTAAGCTTTCGGCTAACATGAACCATCATCATTATATATATATATATATATATATATATATATATATATGTATGTATGTATTTAAATAAAAGAAAGAACAGTAAGATATATAATCCGGTGTTTTATAGATATTTTTATTTTTACAAAATAGTGCTCAATGTAAATTTACAGAGCATTAATATTATAAATTAATTGATTTAAAATATGTTTTTTCGCTACACAGTTCTAACTATGTTTCAAAATGGAAGCTAAAAGCCACGAATTTAATTTTGCAATCAAATTAAAGGCATTAGTTCCATTTCATCCTCAAGCGAATTTTGGAGTAACTTTTAAAATTACTGGGTTTTAAAGACACAGGTAAAATCCCGTTTCCATGGTTACAGATAAATCTGTATATATATATATATATATATATATATATATATATATATATATATATATATATATATAATGAGAGACAGACAGAGGCAGTGAGAGAAAATTTACATCGTCTGAACAAGTTCTCTCACGGGTGTGACCAAACTTTATTTTTTTCAAAATCGTCCGCTTTCTGGTTCACGCATTTCTTCCATTTCTGTTTCAATGCTAGGTTCCTTTTGTTGAAGAATCTTTCATCCTGTTAGTAGAAAAATCCATGCTGTTGTTCGACGGCAGATATAACGCCATCATCACTGCGCTAGTGGCTTCCAGCCAAGAGTATTTTTTTTGTTCATGCTGGCAATTAGATGATTGTCATTTGGGGCCAAATCATGTGAATAGCCATAGTCACTCGCCACAGTCACTGAAAGCAAGGACATTTTAGCTGAGCATTGTCGGTAACTTTCAAGGTAACAAGAGGGAGCTGCCTCAAATAGGTTTCGATTTTCCCCTAATGTCATCAGACTGGTGCGCTTTCGATCAGGTGACAGAAGACGTGGCACCCAGAGAGAAAAAATGACCTTCTTTATGCCAAGTAAATTGCGCCCAATATTCTAAACTCTCTCGCAAGATATGCTGACAGAGCTTGTCAATAATTATCATGTGGTGAAAAAGATCAATGTTTTCCTTAGTGGCAGTTGTTGAAGAACATCCAGGCTTTGGGTCAACTTCAAAACTCTCCCTTCCCCTCATAAATTAATGTAAATATTTTTGCCATGTTGGTTAAGCTGGAGGGACATCTCCTAATGTAGCAGCCATGTTAGCATGACTGTCCTTAGTGGATAAACCTTTATTCTGAAGGTACTTGTTAAGACCACCATGCCGCATTTTGTTAATTTTCAAGGGAAATCGTTCATAGTTACTTTTGAAGTCGTTCTGAAAACACTGTGGAGTTTAAATAAGAAACGTTGCAAATGATACATGCAAATTTTGGCAGCTCTAGCATCACACCTTCATAGTAAGGCTATGAAATTTAGACCGACCTCGTTGAGACAGATAGATGATAGATAGATAGATAGATAGATAATGAATACGTTTAGACAGATAGATTGATAGAAAGATATGAAGACATTGAGATAGATAGATAGATAGATAGATAGATAGATAGATAGATATTTTGTTGAGACACAGATACATGATATGAATATATCGAGATAGATAGATAGATAGATAGATAGATAGATAATGTGAAGATAGATAGATACATAGATAGATAGAGTTTCCCAGTTAATATTTCTCTAGTTAAGACATCTTCATAGTAGGCAATGAAATATAGATACATAGATAGATGATAGATAAAATACGTTTAGACCAGATAGATTGATTTCTAGACACATATAGATAGATAGATAGATAGATAGATTAGATAGATAGATATGAAGACATTGAGATACACACATAGATATGAATATATCGAGATCAGATAGATAGATAGATAAATAGATAGATAGATCTATCTATCTATATATACTTTTATGAAGAGATCGATAGCTAGTTTCCCAAATTACTATCTATCTATCTATTAAAATCTATCTATTCTTTAGACATAAATTGCTCATTAAAATCTATTCTTTACCCAATTTTCAGCCTCTTTCTCTTTACTTCCCTCTCCCTCTTCTTTCTTTTTCCTTTTTTTTTTTTTTTCTCCCTTTCCCTCCCATTTCAATATATCTCTTCCGTTAAGTTAACTGTCTAAATAGGTCAAGATCTGGTCACACCTCCTCCTCCAAATAAAGTATACTTGAAGGATATGAAATTAATCCCTTCCTATACTCTACCATGTCTCTTTAACTATCCTTTACACTCTCTGTTAAATCAAAAAACTTACAATACCCATCAATTTTAATTTCATTTTTGTTAATTTTTAGAAGTGCTATCTGATGATCCGGCGTCCTTTAAAAGGGCTCTGGTGAAATAAATTATTATAATGGTACCTTAAAGAGGTCTGTTTTTGTTTAATATATATATATACACACACATATATATATATATATATATATATATATATATATATATATTTCTGTGTGTGTGTGTGTGTGTGTGTGTGTGTGCATGTATGAATGTGTTGTGCCCTCACAGATAAGGTATGCCCTTAGACGGTTTCTAAATTGTTAAAAGACATTGAGCGTCGAAAAGACAGCACAAATAGCAACATATATGCTATAGTTTTAGATTACGAAGTTTACCTACTTTTTGGCTGGTCCAAAAATTGAGTCAGTGTTAGATGTATCTTCATAGAAGGTGATTACTACTTACACAGCTCTGGACAAGTTCTTTTTTATCAATTACATCCATGTTGACTACCGAAACTTTAAATCTATATGACCAACCCTGACGAACAAGATTTAGTTCATGTGACACACACACACACACACACATATATATATATATATATATATATATACGTGTTATTAGGATATAAAATCCGAACAAATTTCTAAAACATGTTTATTGACAATGTTCCCAATAAAGATTTTCCAATTTGACACAGCCTGAGCGCCCCTATATATATATATATATATATATATATATATATATATATATATATATATATATATATGTGTGTGTGTGTGTGTGTGTGCGTGCGCGTGTGTGCTTTTATGTTTCTTAAGGCGACATATGCATTCGGAAAATATTAATTTTATTTCATCTCCCGTCTTTTTCGCATTTCCTTTGTTCTGTCTTTTATACGTTTCACACACACACACACGCATATATATATATATATATATATCTTTTCGGATGTGTTCCAAATGTGGATATAGATGTACCTGTGGGAACGGACAAGCTCTAGTCCTTGGAAATCTGCAGAGATTCTTATGTTTCCACTCTACAAGCTATGGATGTAATAGCAAACAGACATGACTCTATAACCACTTTGTTTTATGTATCTTTTATAAAATGTTTTCCTTTTTCAAAACATGGTCAAAATATTATGTCCATGGCAATGTTACTATGTTTTTTTGTTTCTTTTTTTTTATTAATAAGGCAGCCATTATTTTTAGCATTTTTTGCATGTAGATGATACTATTATATTATTTTATAAAACATACATACAACAAATTATTTCTTATTTAACAGTTAAAATATTTAATCCTTGAAAATGGTTAAATGTATAGCCGAAAGCGCTTGGATAAAAAGAACATTCAGACAGTTTTTATATAATTTATATGAAAAGAAAAAATGATTAGATCGCATGAGAAATTGTATAAAAAATAAATAAAAGCACCTTGTCTGTCGTATTTAATGAAATGTATATATATATATATATATATATATATATATATATATCAGCAGAAGCCGCTGCATCTCAAGCAAATTAAATTAGTTTACAAATATATGAGCACAAGCAATAAGACCGTATGCTTTCTATGTGACACATGTAAGGACCACACTAGGGGGTCAATTAGCTGGAGAGGTGAAAGCATTGTTGGAAAGGGGACTTAAGGTGAAATCACGTTGAAATACTGGTTCCCACACGATCACTGAAGTTAAGCAACATCCAGCCTAGTCAGTATTAGATGACTGACCGCTTGGGAATAGCAGGCAATGTAAGATTGGATATGCGGTTGGTGTAATGGATAACAACTTGGTATTTTTAATTGGAGAGCCGAGTTCGAATTCCATTTGACTTCGTTGTCTTCACTTACACGCAAATAACATTGGGAAAGATTTGAACCCAGCTCTCCTCCCCCCAATTATGGGTTAATTACAAAGACTTTTATACTAGACCATTACCTAAAAAAAACAAAAGCTTACTGTCTAAAAATATATTCTAACTTTTAATATTTAAATAACCGTAGAAAACGATTCAATCGATCAATGAAATAATGATTATCTACGCAGGTATCTCTTTTAGATTTATTTACATTCTCTGGAATATAAATACAAAAAAAGTACGGTGACCTAAAAGTGAGGGATAATATTAAATATTGATTGTAATATAGAATTGATCCCAGATTTTATACCAACATTATAACGCCTTTCTTTACCAGATTCTGATTAGGTGGTAATTTCCATCTTCTCTCCCCACCTATGGGTTAATTAGTAAAACTTGTATCACTAAAACCATTACTGCTTCAAAAAAATCTTACAATCTAAAAATATTTTCTGGCTTTAAATAATCTGAAATTATACAGCCAATCAACTGTGAGATTGAAAGAGAATTAAAATTATACCACAAAATGACCCCAACATCCTCTGAGTGAAATTGATTAGACGAAAATCAGCTAGCACGAACTGACAATTCAGCGTGACCGAGGGTATGTCGGTTTTGACCCTGTTCAAACTGTTGAACCCGCCAGATTGTCTGCTCTCACCCAAAACTTGTAAATAGGTACTTTTCAGCATAGCTGCTGTTGAGCAAAAACAAATGTGTCTGCGCTGGCGTCTGCAATGGGTATTGTCTATCTGCCATAGTATGAATTTATGCCCGGAAAATAATAGCCGCATTTATTCTGTCGATTTAGCTCAGACATTTATGAGTCTATCAGGCCAACCATTATGGGTCTGCACCATGGTCAGAATGTCATTACGGTGGCATTCTGTGCTGTGTCATAACATAGCTGGTCAATATAGGTGGTGGCTTGGCGAATGTCTTGCTCCACGTCTAGGTGTCTAGAGCAGTAGATCATTTGCTTGCAAGCAGTGTCCTGCAAAGCGCTTTCTGTGTTCGCCTAAGATTGTAGAAATGTCAGTGATGGATCCATATTATAAGTATTTGAGAAATTTTTTACATCTTTAGAGGATTCGCCGATGATCTGGCGTTAGGAGAAAAGTATATAATTGCACTTCAGAAGAAAATCATATCTGTGAAATTCTGTTGCATTGGAATCTCATCTGTATATTGCAGCGAACAGTCTCGATTCCTTCATATTTCTTTGGTACGAAATATGTTCCCACGCAGTTCTGCGTTGTGGAACCAACTCCCAAAGTGATGTTTCTCCGATCACTACAATCTTAAATTCTTCTCGTCTACTGTTAACCTTTACTTCCCCAGATATCCGCATAAATTATGCCCTTATTTTGTAGCACTCTACTTCGAGGTGCTCTCGGGCCTTGTACATAGTGAACATCATTTTTTTAAAAAAGCATCAATTAAACAGATAAGTAAACGTAAATCTTCCTTCTATAATAAGATCTCAACTTTATAAACTTTTCAGTTGTATAGATTTCATAAAATACATGAATTTCATAAAACACGTAGAATTCCTTGTAACATTTAACATTCAGAAAGTGCATATATTTCGATAAAGATTTCTAGATAACCTTGATGCTCGCTGTAATCCAACTACATATTTTCATGAATTTAAAAAAAATTCGTAAAATTCATTAATTTAATAGAATACATGAATTTTTGAATATCTGAATTTATAAAATTAGATTTTTTAAAAATTTAATTATAATTTTAATTTCATTTCCTTAATATATGTGTGTATGCGTGTGTGTCTGCGTGCGTGTGTGTGTGTGTATATTCATCAAGTTTATCCAAAGTAAGGCAGCAAAGCCACTAAGCCACAATGGGTCTTTGGAAGAATTAAAAAACAGAAAAAAAACTAAGTAGGGAAATAAATGAAGACTAATCGGGGGACTGTAGGTAGCGATTGATATTGCGTTTAAATTTTTGAAGTCTGAAGTTGACTGGAAAGCATGGAGTCGGAAGGGAGTTCCATTAGCGGAATGCGCGAGAAAAGAAACTATTAGCATAGAAGTTACGGTTACATCTAGCTAACTCAACTGTATATCGACGAAACCTCGTTGCCAGTCTTCTGGCGCTGCGCTTAAATTCATAAAGTCTAGGTACCATAGCGAATAACTCATGAACAATTACCAGTATTTATAGAATAGGCACAGAGAGGCAATTTTACGGTAGTGGGAAATTGGCTGAAGCAAGATCATGACCAATTACATTGCATATTTTCTTCGGATTTTACCAAGGATCTCTAGATATATAAAAGGATCACCGGATCATATTTGGCAGCAGTATTCTAAGCATTAACAAATGGTAAATTTATAAATATGTAAGATAGATTCTGGAGAGAAAAATTGTGTAGAACGAAACACTGAAACAATTGTTTTTGCAGCAGATCTAACAATTGATTCTATATAATTTTTCCACTTCATGTAGAAATCATCCATTCGTCAGTGCATTGAATACTGCAGTCATATTTGGTCTGGTGCTCCTGCTGTACATCTAAAGGTTCTTGACATCTAGCCATTTTTTTTAACTATAAGATGATACCATCTTGCCGACATTCAAATAGTTCGCTTAAATTTATAAATGTAGCAAAAAAGATGGACCATCAGAACAATTACCATGAAAATATTTATATGAAAGGCAAAAGTAAGTCACGTTACGGCGTTGGGAAAGTAACTAGAGTCGAGATGCCAGGTTAAGACTAATTACATTGCTTATTTTCTTTGGATTTTATCAAGTATCTCTAGATATAAAGC